GGGAGAGCGGACTCTGCCCACTCTCAGCCGTACCAATGCATTTGGGGGCAAGTATAAGAATGAAAGTAATAAAATAAAGTATTCCGATTTATTTAATACATAACATGAAAATAAAGAGCAGTGCTATCACAAAAAAATGTACGTTTTCACACTGTGGATATTTCACAGCAGCAACCAGCGCATCCTCTATTGTTTGTTTTTGCGATAATTGACCTTATCAATAGTTAGTTGCTCAGAATTTCAATAACAGTTGTTGCATTTTGAGAAAACGTGAACGATGAGAAAATCAGCAAAGTATAAAAATGTTGGTTTAACAGAAAAACTTGAATTTTAAAGTCAATTAAAAATAAACTATCGTGTGATTATTAATTTACGAATATCGTGTATTTAGTTAGATAGAACGTAGGGGAAGATATTTGTCATAAAAAAAAGATCTTAGTCGTTTTATTCTTCCTAAGAAGTCCAGGAAGTCGATTTAAAGAAACTGGATCGTGAAAATCCACACTAAATTAAAGTTGCTTACTATAGTGCATTTAAATATGTAGTAATTTGCATAAGAATCGACTAACTTACAGAAAGTAAATGCCTTGTAACTGCATGAAAAACTACTTCAGTACGACCACTATATATAAATCGCCTACACACTAAACATATGAACTTCTTATCAGATCGTGTAATCAGCTTTGACCAATCTTGCCAAACTACACGAGGTTGTTTGCCCGAAACGTGTCGATTAGGTTTTATAGAAAGAGTCGGTGTTTTTTTAGAATCTGAAGGAACAAGGTTGGTTTGAGTGCCAGAAGGCATGCCACATGTCAAACGAGAGCATGATTTGTCATTACTACCAATAGAGGGTACACTTTTTGAACTTCGTTCTTTTTTTTCTGGAGATGTATTGGACTCAATTTCTTCACCTTCGTAATCTGACTCACTGGAACAGTGGAAGTCATCGTCGTCACATGAACCTAGTACAATACGCTGAGCCATGACTGCAGACTTGAAATAATCAAAAACAGGTAAAAAGAGTAAAAAACCCGTTACTTCAAAGATAATACAAAACTGTGAAACTTCTCATTCTATAACAAACTTACAAAATTGAAATATGAACCTAATTTATCATATCAATGGTATGTATTCTTCGTTGTCAATATTGAGAAGTGTGTTGTTGCTCTACTGCAATAAGGTGCATTTTACATAGAGCTCTTGATTAGGTTTTGTATATTTTTTTGTTTAAACTTTAAGTTGGCCTACCTTACTGAGTAAAAATTCCAGTTTTAAAATCCTGTCATTAAAATTAATTAGCTTTAAAAATAGTATCACTAGTTGGTACTGAAGATGAAGTGAATGTTTTTTTATAGATCATCCCGCTCTGCTGAAGTTATGCAAGACAGAGACAGAAAGAATCTTTACCGATGGGAAAATATCTTCGGTTATTAAAACCCAACACTAGATGTTACACAAGTAATTTAAGAGTCTGTTGATTATGAAAATCAGACCGACAAGAGAAGTCAATAAAGTTCGATTTACTCACTAAGAGTCAAACTTTAAAAACCAAGGCGATTTAACTAAAACTGCAAGGTACCAACGAACGAATGAAAATCCGATGGTCGTATACAAATGCGTATCGCCCTAAACTTATGACTATAAAGTACAGATACGCAAAGCTTCACGTCACTTGGCTTTATAACTGAATAAGCGGAATATGGTTCTCCATTGTATCATAACTAGATTCATTCGTTTTACATTTTCATCTTTTCTTAATACTGAACTAGTTTTATTACTTAATCGACCTTTTTATAAACCACTAGAACAAAGTCGAGTTGAAATGGGGCTCAACGAATTACCACATACCCATAAACTTAAAATTTCGACTACAATAAATTATAAATGGAACATGTCCTATATGAGGCCCATATCTGTGACCGTGAATTTAGTTTATTATGTTGCGAAACAACAAAATCTCTTCTTCGGGAAAATAAAACAAGATTTTTACAATTTTTAAAAATGTAACTAACTTGTTCATCCGCCTTACGCTTTCTCAAGTGAACTGTGATGTGATCTTTTATTTGAACATGATTAGTTGATGATACACCACAAACAGAACAGGTGAAGATTTGCAGCTCAAAAAAATGAACTCCTGAAGGATCCAAATGAACACTCATTACATGTTTCCGAAGGTCGAATGTTGATGTAGCAGCGAATTTACATTCAGGACAGCATAGTGAGAACACTGGAGCAGATTTAGGATGTTGAATACATCCCACGCTCGTCAGGTCCATAACCAATCACCTTAAATTAAAAAATCTACTGAAATTAGGAAGCAGAAACAAATCAAGAAGTCTGTTTATATTTTAAGATTGTATTATTAATGATTTTCCATAAAACACATCAATTCAGATAACCTGTTCATAAGGTCATTATTCGTTGTTTCATTCTCAGGACATAATGCCTGATCATTGTTTGATGCAAGTTCACCGGAGTGGAATATAAAACGGCTATCTGGACAGACTTCCCAGCCTTTTCCTAAGAACAGTTCGAACACATCTTGGGAAGAAATACTTAAGTAACCACATAAGAAATCAATACATATGTGTGAGTATGCGCGAGAAAAAAGGTCTATAATTGAGCTGATCTGTCTATCACGAATTTGTTTGACCATTTGAACGAGCATATCAGGCTGTTTAGGATCTGCCAGAACTTGTGAAGCTCGAGAGAAGAAAGACTTCGCATCATTTCGCACAAGGAACCGACCAAGATCCCACAAGCACTTGATCGAATCATTCTCCTTAATTTTGAGCGGCATTCTTTTATATAAAAACCTAGCATTGATCAAATCAGATTTCATCAAATATAACCCCAAATATTGTAAATAAAAGTCAACTGGTGAAGGACTTCCCAATGATGTGGGACAAGACTTGGAATCAAAATTTAGGGTGTCCAGGCCTAATTCAAAGGCTACCATTTCGGCAAGCTGTTCTTCCAATACCGAGTCATCTGACATTATTCCCCCCTACAGTAGCACACAGTCTAATAAAACCGCGAGAACAAATACAATAACAAATATTGGATATGCGAGATAAATGGATATTATGAGTTTTTGACAGCTATTGTATAAGTAAAATACTACTGTTGTTAGTCGGTATTTATATCAAGCCTTGTTATTACTCTGTGATACATCCCCATCTCACATCAATTCCATGTTCAAAGGATGGCTAGGACTTATTTGTTTTTTCCTGTTGATGTTAGAAAGAAACTAAAAAACTTGGTAGCTTTGAATAAAAGTGGACTGTACATCATTTGAGAGGCTTTTGATTATGTTTGACTTCCCGAACTTTATACTAAATACTTTACATGTAGGACACAGAGGACTATAGTCTTTCGTCACAGAAAGGTTGACCAAAATCTCTTTAAACAGTAAGCAAAATGGTTCCAGTTTGGTACTTTTTGTATACGTCAATTAAATGAAGACGATTCATGACATTGAAAAATATCTTCTGACTTCTTACACTTTCCGCTCACCGATAACTTTAGTGCCACGTAGAGCTAGAAGTGGGGTACTAGTTGCAACAAGGGTGCATATATTGTACACATGGGTTAAACTAGCACAGTAACTATCAAAGAATATTGATTGATCACATCAGCAACTAGACAAAATCAATTAACACAGAGTATGTTAATTTTTATGTAAGGCGAAAAGACTAATAACTATAGTTGTAGCGGTAAATAAATCCCCAAAATAAATAGCTTTGTAAGTTTTCGACATTGGATGCTGACCATATGTTTTAGTGGGCTCATCTAGCTGAAGGCGCTCGGTCAGGCATCCGCACCAGATCACGTGTGGTAACGCCGTGCTCAACATCAACCGCAATCGCTAGCCAGATTAGATCAGAGAATTCCGATATATTGGTAATCGCCAAATACACTCTTCCGATCTCCTCGACTCTGTCTTTTGATTTCTCTCGGTGGGTACAAATCATATTAGAAGGTGTTACTGGTAGAAGTGTTGTGAAACACTGAATACCTGTGACATCATCGTTGGTGAGACCATCGTGATCTGGTACACCTTATTGCAACTGTGAGTCTGTTCCGTTTTGGGATTTTTATATATCATTGCCTTATTTTTTATTTTTTTTTTAAACATTGTGATTTTTTTCGTGTTTCTTCTTGGATATATATATATTTCCCCTCGTTCATTATCGTACTTCATATTTCATCATGACTGAACAGACACCCAAAGTACTCAAGCTTAAGACCTTGTCCCCGCCTTCGTTTCAACTGATGCCTTTCTGGCCCGACAACATCGAAGCCTGGTTTTGCTACGCAGAAGCCGACTTCTCCGAGCACGGCGTGATCGACACACGTGCACAATTCCTCGCAGTAGTCAAGGCACTACCGCGCGAATTCAACAGGTACGTAACACCCAGTATGTTTACTAGTGATGTTTCCGAACCTTACGAAATCTTGAAACCCTCGATTCTCAAACGAGGAGACCTAACCGATCGACAAAGGTTAGATCAACTCTTCAATAACATCGACCTGCAACACGGTTCTGCGACAGACATGTTGCAACGGATGAGAGAGGTTATAGGCCCAAGAACTTTCGACGAAGGTCTATTCAAACAACTCTTCTTGTCAAAACTTCCCCAATAGGTGCAAGCAGTTCTGGTCTCGTTCCAGAACAACGCCTTAGACGAGCTAGCTCCATCTGTTGACCGTATTCTAGAAATTACGAAACCTACTACCGAGGTATTTTCAGTCAAAGAAAAACCTCAACGACTCAGAATGATATAACCGACTTATGTCGCACACTGATTCGAAAAACAATTCGGGAAACTTCCAAGCCGGCACGCGTTAACGGCAACCGTAGCCGGCGAACAAAGCCGTCTGTTATTCGTCACAGATGTGACAACGAGAGTTCGCTACCTCGTCGACACTGGCGCAGAAGTTAGCGTTCTCCCAGCAAATCCTAACGACCGACTTCACGAATCGACCCTAAACTTACAGGCGGCAAACGGAAAACCGATCGCTACGTATGGCAAAAGGTACGTTTACCTTAACGTGGGTTTACGCAAACCCATCCACTGGATTTTCGTTGTTGCAGATGTTTCTATGCCAATCATTGGTATGGACCTTCTACAACACCACAATCTGATCATCGACACTCGCAAACGGAGGCTAGTAGACGGAAACACTAATTTGTCCGTTTGCGTAACTTCTTTTACTGGTTGTAGAGTATCCCCAGTCACAGTTAAACATATGATAGACCCACTCTATCAACCACTACTCGATAAGTACCCTGGGATACAACAAACTCAACCGAAACTACCGTGTGTAACCAGCAATGTTACACATCACATCACGACTACAGGACCACCTGTATTCTCTAAAGCACGACGACTAGCTCCTGAAAAGCTAAGGTTAGCGAAAAACGAATTCGATCACATGATGGACTTAGGAATCATACGACCGTCAAGTAGCCCATATGCATCTCCGTTGCACATGGTCCCTAAAAAGGACAGCAACGATTGGCGTCCAACTGGTGACTATCGGCGATTGAACGCGAAAACCATTCCCGATCGTTACCCGTTGCCTCACATTCACGATTTGACAGCTACCTTGAAAGGTACAACTGTCTTTTCGAAAATCGACTTGGTTAAAGCGTATAACCAAATCCCTATGGCTACTGACGACATACCGAAAACGGCTATCATAACTCCCTTCGGACTCTATGAATTTTTGCGAATGCCTTTCGGTCTAAGGAATGCTGCTCAAACATTCCAAAGATTCATAGACGACGTTTTTCGAGGTCTCAACTTCGTACACGCGTATGTTGACGACTGTCTAATCGCAAGTCCGGACAGAGAAACACATCTCAAGCATCTGGACCTTGTTTTCGAACGATTACAAAAACATGGCATAACTGTAAACGTTCAGAAATGCCAATTTGGAACCGACTCGTTAGACTTTCTGGGACACACTATCGATGCTCAAGGTATCCGACCCCTTAGAACCAAAGTGGCGGCCATTCTGGATTACCCAGAACCGACCACCGTCAAGCAATTACGCACGTTCAACGGCCTGGTAAGTTTCTATAGACGTTTCATACCCAAATGCGCATCACTTATGAAACCTCTGACCGACCAACTTCGTGGAAATGCGAAATCCATTAATTTGGACGACACCGCACGAAAAGCATTCTCCACAGTTAAGGAACTGATTGCTAAAGCAACAATGCTCGCACATCAGGACACCCGAGCACCCATTAGCATCGCAGTAGACGCATCCGACTCAGCAATCGGAGGAGTCTTACAACAATGGGTTAACAACTCCTGGCAACCCTTGGCATTTTTCTCTAGAAGGTTGCTAGACACCGAATCGAGGTACAGCACATTCGGTAGGGAACTCCTAGCTATGTATTGTGCTGTACGGCATTTCCAACACTATATCGAAGGCCGTGAATTCACTCTTTTCACGGACCATAAACCGCTCACTTTCTCGTTAAGCTCTCCTTCTGACAAGTACTCTCCCCGTGAGTCTCGACAACTGGACTACATTTCGCAGTTTACTTCAGATATTCAACACATCTCTGGAGCAAACAATGTAGTTGCAGACGCTTTATCTCGTATAACTTCCTTGAACAGTTTCCAAGGAATCGACCTTCTTAAACTCGCCGAGCTTCAAAAAGAAGACAGTGATCTTCAGCACGAGTTATCGTCCACAACACTTAAACTACGCATCAAACAGATGGGAACAGGTAAGGAAACCTTACTTTGTGACACATCTACAGGTAGGGATCGCCCAATCGTGCCGAAACATTATCGACGCAATGTCTTCAACACATTGCACAAACTTTCTCATCCAGGTGTTCGTGCAACCATCAAGCTTATAGCAGAACGATTTTGCTGGCCTGGCATGAATAAAGACGTGAGGGAGTGGGCACGCTCCTGTGTAAGCTGCCAAAAATCTAAGGTTATCAGACACAATAAATGTCCCTTAGGCTCGTTTAAAACTCCCGATGCTCGTTTCGACCATGTTCATCTGGATTTGGTAGGACCTTTACCAGATTCAAATGGATACTCTTATCTCTTAACCTGCGTAGACCGTTTCACTCGATGGCCAGAAGCAGTACCTATCAAGGACAGCACTGCTGAAACAGTGGCCCGCACATTCGTCGAACGATGGGTAGCAAACTTCGGTTGCCCTTCAACCATCACTACAGACCGCGGACGTCAGTTTGAATCTGATCTTTTCCGTCGTCTGACCACACTTTTAGGAATCACTCGCTTCCGAACGACCGCCTACCATCCACAAGCAAACGGGTTGGTAGAACGTTTTCACCGACAACTGAAAGCTTCGCTATCAGCTGCAAACGTTTCACAATGGACCGACGCTCTTCCACTCGTCTTACTAGGTATCCGCAATGCAGTGAAAGCTGACATTGGATACACTGCGGCTCAACTCGTTTATGGAACGACACTTCGACTTCCAGGAGAATTCGTGGATCCTTCGTGCTCTTCGATGAACATGGATCTAACCTCCTACACGAACAGGCTTACAAACGCAATGCGTTCAGTTAAACCTGCTTCCACTCGACCTCAATCAACTGATGTTTTCGTTCAACCTGACTTACATATAGTACACACGTTTTCATTCGTCGAGACTCGCATCGACGACCATTCGAATCAGCATACGAAGGACCCTTCAAAGTTCTTCAACGTGAATCTAAGTACTATATAGTCGATAAGAACGGAACCAACGATAGCATCAGCATCGATCGCTTAAAAGCAGCGTATTTAGAAGGAAATCCTATCCACGTCGATTTTCCTTCGGTACAATCGAACGACACGACTCAGACACTTATAATACCTCATCCGACAACCAACACACGAAGATACTTCGACAGTATCCGAAAATAAACTTAAAACGACGCGTTCTGGAAGAAGGGTGAGATTTCCAGAACATTTAAACGACTATTGCACGTAAGGCACTTCTCGACATTTTATATTATTTTTTTTTAAAAAAAAACAATTTTAATATGCTTATATATTTTTATTTCTATTAAAAAAAAAACAAATTTTTTAACGCTATTACGTGCTCATGAGTTTATTTTCCTTTTTTTCCGCCGACCTTGTGTTTTTACGCATATACGAGTGTATTTTCGACATGCACTTACATTTTCTTTTTTCTTTTCCAGGACGGCTGGAAAAGAACGATGACGTTTATGAGGATCCGAAATTTTCATTGTACATTTTCTTTTTTTACTATGTTGTACCTCCGTCCCATATAGTAAGGAAAGACGACCAGACGCTGCTAAATTTAGTAAGCTATCAGAAGAGTGTTTACCAACGACAAACTCGTTGGGTTTAAACTTCTGGCTGGCCACGTCTTAGGGTCGTCACTGCCCCACTAGGGGGGGAGTGATCTGTAGCGGTAAATAAATCCCCAAAATAAATAGCTCTGTAAGTTTTCGACATTGGATGCTGACCATATGTTTTAGTGGACTCATCTAGCTGAAGGCGCTCGGTCAGGCATCCGCACCAGATCACGTGTAGTAACGCCGTGCTCAACATCAACCACAATCGCTAGCCAGATTAGATCAGAGAATTCCGATATATTGGTCATCGCCAAATATACTCTTCCGATCTCCTCGACTCTGTCTTTTGATTTCTCTTGGTGGGAACAAATCATATTAGAAGGTGTTACTGGTAGAAGCGTTGTGAAACACTGAATACCTGTGACATCATCAGAGTCAATGAGAGACTGAGCAGCGAATGCACAGATATTACAGGGACATGTAAAAATATGGGTATAATAATTAGTATCACGTTTACAAATAACAGTATAACAAGAGGGAGCATAACAATCTATTTATCAAGAAGTTGTTATATCCTGGGTTTGTAAGATTTCCATCTTGTCAGTGCATTATGTGCTTCTTTGAACAGCATCATAGCAACTCTCCAAGTGTGTGGAGCATTTTCTTCTTCGTGACTAGAGTAAAAAGTATCTCTACTGGTTCTATTCTTTCCGTCCGTTTTCAGTCTATTGGGTTTCATATATGCTAAAAACCGCGAATTTGTGTTTTCTCATTTCCATAGCTAACTGACTGACACTCCCGGTCTTCCACATTGTCCGAAAATTCCATGAACCTAAACGAATCGTTGCTCTAGTTGTTAGAAGGGAAGTCAAGTTCGTGAATTCGGAAGAATTTCAACTTTCACGATGAGGCGTCATGTTTCCACTCATAGAATATCCTTGAACTTTGAGAACAGAGTTGGAATGGGTTAATTTTTTATTTGAATGGCGTTTATTTGGGAAGATTGATTTCTACCTTATAGTGTGACTGACTCTACGCCCAACCCCCCTTAACCCGTTCTTGTGGACAACAGTAACCATAGAAGAGCTACAGGTGGAGTTGAGTAGCCTCTAGTCGTATTAGTTTTATGTGCTTGTGGTGTGAGGTATTTCTATGTCCCAATGTGTGCAACACGCTCAATAGTTGGGGAACATGTTGTAGAAATCAACTGAAAACTAAAAGGATGACCTAAGTTAATAGATTTGAATTGAGTAAGAGTTTGATTTTACCTTCATTGCCGAAGGATTCCTGTAGCGGTAAATAAATCCCCAAAATCAATGGTGCATGATATAGGCACACCAGTTATTACTAGGGATGCGTAGCACTGAGTAATGGATAATGATCTGATGCGGATGCGTGATCAAAAATCATTATATAGGGTTCACTTAGTAAAACTAATAAGGTTAGTGTCGTTGTTGTAGACTTACAGAACGATTTGTTTTGGGTATTTTAGTATCTCTACACTGACTGTTCGGAGGAGGAAAAGTGTGCCACCTGAGCCGTGTCAAGATCTGATCATAGCTCCTAACCTAGCAGTATCCACTAGAACTAAGAAGAATGACTTCATTGATAAGTGTTCATAACGCTAAATATTTTGGATCTACATATAGTGCTACGGTGTTCGTTCGAAATAATCATGGTCAAGCACACTGAATATAGCTATATGAATTAGCTGAAAAGTTCACTGCACTAGGTTGCTTAGTTTTAAAAACCAAACGAGTTTTATTTTAATAATTGTTTGAACAGCGTAACCTAGACAACCGCGCGGCGTTTTCGAGGTTGAGCTTGTGTTACAGGTTCAAAATGTCATGTTTAGACTTCTAGTGCACTTGCGGAGTCTTCCTAAACAGGACTGTGTTATCGCTGGCTTACTTCAACGTTTTCCATCAATCAGAGTTATTTTGTTTCGCACACTTATCGAACGGTCGCTGATCTTGTTATTCTCTTCAGCTGTCTTGACACAGTAAACACCATAATCTCCCACAACACTCAATATAATTTCAGGATAAATGAAAAGCAGTACAAAATGTTGGTCTCATGTTGGTTTCTTATGTGAATGGTGAAAAGTTTTAAAGGAGACAATGATATTATTGACAGATATTATGAAGACCCAGCACGTGATATTTACCGTCTGAACGTCAAAAAGCCCTTAAATCACAGTTTTCTGACGTTTGGAAATTCATCATCTCTTTACATTTACTCCAGCAGCGGTAACAACGGGGTTGTCGTTAAGAAAAGCGTTTCTTTACGAAAAAACTCTTCCCAGCGGTCGAAGCTCTGTATAATTTTATAGTATGCATAAATTACTTGAAAAACTGAATATATGTGGCTCCTGGTAGGTTTGGCTGTAGAATAAATTTCTTCGTTGTATTTCGTTTTCTTTGTGTCCAGTATTCGGTATTTTGGTCTGAAGTTTCAGTCATGAGCTCTTCAGTGGCTGTCCCACTGAAGAAGACTAAGTTGTCGAAGCCTAAAACGCCGGTCAGTCACCCGCCAGTAATCAACATGATCAATGCAGCAATAAGTCTTTTTGTTCAGAAATTGTACGCTCAACTGTTCAGCGATATATTTTCGACATTTCGAAAGAATAACAGTTTCCCTAGTATCTATGTAAACACCCGAAGTTCCCTTATTTTTCAGCGGCGACTCTAATTTATAGACGATCTTTGAACGAATCTTAAGCGAACTTGAGAAATATTATCCAATCAACAAACAGTCGGTACAGAGTAAAAATATGTTATACAAAACCAAGGAAATAAAGTGGATACACTTATACGTGGTTCAAAAACGTGTCAATGTTAGAAAGAGGTTCTAAGATCGTAATGCATGCAGCAGAGGAAATCATCCATACGGCTACAGAATAGTCGGCCTCTGGAGCCATGATAAAGTCTCAAAAACTCTGTCAGCCTTGACCACATAGCTTCAATATTGTTTATGTGCACTCCGGTTGTTGGGTGCACAAAATGCTACTTGTGGATAACAACACGATGCACATAGCCGAGCCTATGTAGGAGTCTACACTCTCCAAACATCCGTACATATTGTAATGCCTGGCTGCAGCCAGTGTTACTGGTGCTTTTATTATCCAGTTCGCAATAATTTTCGTAATTTGCCTTAGTTGGGAATTATATATGGGGTTTTCATCACTAACTGACATCAGCTATAATGCCAGAAATTTATTTAGCCAAATGGATGAAAGAATATCGTGTTAAAATCCGAGATCTCTTATCTTGCACCTAATTGTTTCGCCCACAAATTATAGCCCCGCCGTTTTATTTGTTATAGCCTCTCAATTATCACGTTTTATATAAAATTCTCTGTGAACTGATCGTACGTTAGTATTAATCACTGAAGTTGGCGCCGTAACCTTGAAATCTCTAAAACGCCTCTGATGGGCTCGTTTACAAATTAGTCTCGCCGGAGAAACCTTAGTAAGCCTTGGGGATACCTCACATTGTCGTCATCGTTCCAAAATTCACTCTCCCTTTAACCAAAACGTTTATATTAACGGTTCGATTGTTATTAACATAGTATTCCAGTCAGACTAATCTGGGTTTCCTTTCAACCTTTTGTACCCAAGTCATGTTACTTGTTCACAAATAAACTTTTACACTACATAATTTTCTGGTGAATGTATCTACCATAGGTGCAACGTGTCTTACACCTTGGAAGGAAAGTCGCCGCTTGCACGTGTTGGTCATTCAACTCATGCTGTACGCATGAAATGTGGGAACACGGGCAACCGACCATTGGTTATAATGATCGGGGGTGCAGATGCTTCTGGAGTATTTAATGAAGCTTACATTCTGGATATAATATCATTTATGTGGTACACTGTTGATTTGGAACAGACAATTGATTTCCCAGGTTTGGGAAGGTATGAACATAGCAGTGCAATTTTAAACAACCAGGTGAGTTGAATTACTGCAGTTCATGCACATTTCATATTTACTCACAAATCACTTTGGTTATAAAGTAAGTGGTATGTTTTCAGAACGACCATTTTATTTGACGTTAGATTGGTAATTTGAGCTTCCTAATTTTATAGCCTATTAAAATGCCGTACACAAATCCAAACAACTGCATTTGGTTGCAAAAAATGGGTGTATTACTAATCAACTATTAAAATGGTAATATTCCATACTGCCGGTCTGTCCGAACATCTCATTTTCTCATGACCTAAAATGATAGACAAAATCATACTACGCAAACTAAAACCTATAAGTGGTTCTAGTAGTCATATTTGTCATTATCACTAAAGGCAAAAGTTAAAGAAATAATATTGAGAAATATGTAGGTATAAATTTGACAATAAATCCATTAATTTTGTGCCGTTTTTGCTTAAAGCCATCTCCCTTTATTTTATAACTAATGGTTTCTCCGACTCATCTAGTCATTAACTTGACAGCATCCTTCGTCAATGTAGGTAGTAGCCTTACTTAGACACCGCATACCATTCACTATGATTCTATGTTATGCTTAAGTAAACAACTTAAGTCACCATTTATCCTCCTGACGGATGGACTTATTCAAAATTTCGAAGACGCTGTGACTCACTAACTGATCATAACATTTGTGTTTGGACTAGGAAAGATAATTGGTTGTCATGACCCAATCAATGTAGATCAGTAACTGAGAATATGTTCGGGTACTACAGATCATCGTGGAACAACCGATTGTATGGAGTGTTTCACTATAAATCGACTTCCTTGATTATGAGAAAGCATTTGACAGCGTGGATAGGAGAAACTTATGGAACCTTCTTCGACACTGTGGTATACCTGAGAAAACAGTCAACATCATCCGGATTTCATGGGACGGATTACAGTGCAGAATCGTGCATGGAGGATAGCTGACAGACGCATTCCAAGTGAGGACAGATAATGATGCTTAATCTCCCCTTCTTTTTTCTCCCGGTGGTTGGCTGGCTTATGAAGACCTCTACATCTGATGGGAAGTACGAAATACAATGGACAGCTCGGATGCAACTAGACGATTTTGACTTCACAGGTGACCTATTCCTTCTATTCTATATACTCTAACAAATGCAGATAAAGACATCCAGTGTAGCATCAGCCTCTGCATCAGTATGTCTCAACATACACAAGATAGGAAAAGCAAGCTCCTTGATTGCAACACAGAGAACACCAACCCAATCACACTTGAAGGAGAGACTCTGGAAGAGGTGAAAGCTTTCACATACCTGGAAAGCTTCAACAATAAACAAAAAGGACCTGATGCAGAGGTTAAGGTAAAGACAGCATTCCTACAGTTGCTTTTAGGTCAAGAAAGACCACCATCATCGGACGCCGATAAGTATGCCTGTGTTCTAGAACCTAACGAATGGTGAATATGTGGTCCATGCAGCCACGACCAGGTCTGAAACCAGCTTGATTCTCTCGTGTTTGCGGTTCACGAGTCTTAGTTACGCATCCGATAATTATCGAGGCTAGTATTGTAGATACTATATTAGTTAAACTCATCCCTCTATGTTTGTCACAGGATGATTTTGACCCTCTCTTATATATTGGGACGATAAGTGATTGTGACCAGTCAGATGGGATAACGTCCAACTCTCAGATTTTAACTGAAATATCAGTCAACCTAATCACTAAAATTAGATCACCATCCTTAAATACATCTGGAGCCAATCCATCTGGACCAACTGCCCTTTCTCGTTTCAGATTAACTATAGCCTTTTGAACTTCAGCTAGAGTTTGGGGATCTACTTCAATGTTCTATTCACACTGTCTGGGAATGGAGGGTAGTTGTAGAGTAGCTGAAGGCCAGCTGAACTGTTCTCTAAAATGTTCCGCCCATCGTTCTAAACGTCTGGACTGGGAGCAGATGAGAGTGTCGTCTCTTTCTGAGATAGTCTGACTTACACTTGACTTATTCTTTTACTAGTCTGTAAAGCTGTCTTGTGTTCCTTATAGCCGCCTTCTCCATCTCTTTTGCTTTCGTTGCCCACCACTGCTCACGGTCGTTCCTTAGACTTTTGGTTAACCTAGATCTGATTTGTTGTCGCTCTTCATCGTGTTCAGAGTCTGATGGGATGAGTTTACGAGAATCCATCAGTGCAATAGACTTTGAAGAAATCCATTGATTCTTTGTAACCCTGCGGTTTAAATCATTGATAGATGTCACTGCTGTTTCCACAGCTGCTTGTATATCTTTCCAAGCAACCTCTGGGTCAGCCTCGTTTTCAGAACTACCTAAGTGGGACCTCATTTGTTCCTGGAACCTACTTTTGGTTTTCTCGTTACTCAATTCAGTTCTAATGGGTCTTTTTACTGTGGCTTTTTTGCGTCCAGTGAGGCGCAAGCAGATGCGTGCCGGTATTAGAGCATGGTCGGAGTCCAAACAGGTACTCCAGAATGAGCGACAATCTTCTACTGACCCTCTCCAACGATGACTAATGGCAATATGGTCTATTTGAGTCAATCGTTAGTTTGGTGTAGGGGGTCGCCATGTTAGACGATGTCTCTCCTTATGCTTAAAATTTGTTTGCTAAAAATAAACGATTGTCTGAGCATAGTTGCAGCAGACGATCACCATTATCTGTTAGTTGTGCCGGAATACTAAAATACCCGTTTAAATGTCTTTCTGTTGGTTTAAACAACCTATCTGGGCATTAAAGTCACCTGCTACGAGTACTATGTCTGAACGTTTAGCTTTCTGAAGAAGTTCAGAAAGCTTTCTGTAAAATTCATCTTTCATTTCATCTGAGCTGCAGTCGGTGGGAGCATAGGCAGAAACGACGAAAAGACAACGACGTTTGTTCCTATCCTTCCGAGTTCTTACGGAGCCGTTTAGCCGAACAGCACATAGACGACTGTTGACGGGGATCCAGTCTAACAGTGTTTGTTCCGCCCTCATGCTTAGTGCTATCCCTACTCCTGCCAGTCCACGAGAGCTGGCCATCGGGTCACCAGATACACGTAGGGTGTATCTCGTTGGCTCTCCGTTTTGGCAAGGTGAGGTCAAGTGAATGACCACACTGGAATCCTGTATGCGTGTTTCGGAGACACAGCATACATCAATGGTACGGGATTCTAGGGTTTTAGCCAAGTAGACCTGTTGGTCAATTTCACATAGGGTGCGTACGTTGAAGGCTCGAATGTGTAGTTTGCAGCGAGGTTTCAGTAGACCTGAGAGTGTTTTGCGCACTGGAATCGTTGGCTATGGTGACACTTGAGGGCGAAGCCGAAAAAGGAAGTTTAGAGTTGAAAGTCGATGTAGGAGGAATAATAGGAATTGAAGAGGGAGGTTGAATATGAATACAGTGGTCTTCAGTGCTGTTAGAGGTATGAGGGCAGTTATCACTTCCCAGTTGCCCACGTAGTGGAAGGGTTCTTCTGGAGGTACCTGAGAAGGAAATGGGATTAGAGGTGGTCTCAGTGACCTGAGAGCCAGACCGCAGTAATTTTTGTGTTAGCTCCGTACTTGTTGAGACCTTACCGCCGGAGATGGATATCCGTGGGATAAGGCTAGACGTGCATTTTTAGGGTCGACATTTTCTAACCCAACCCTCCTTGTAGGAAGGTAGCATCGCTGTTTTGCTGGTTGTCTGAAGGAAACATCTTACTGTTGTCACACCTCTGTATAGTCAGCAGTACGACTTCGCCTTCGGACCTTGAGTTTGTTGCTTTTAGTCTTATTGCTCTTCAACCGACCTGCTTGACATGGTAGGACCTTGAGGAACGGTTGTTCCAGCCAGTATAGCTCGGTTGCTTCATCATGATAGGCAAGGTAGCAACAACAGCATCTTAACCACTGCGCTACCGTTCTATAATGCACATGGTTTTTACTTCACACTTTGATTTTTAATAAATCAGACGATGAGGTATTACTGTTATTTCATGAAGGTATGTGACTGAACTCGAAAGTCACATGAACAAAGAACAATTATAAAAACACTTGATAGTTATCTAAAATAGTCGAATAGTTGATATGAAAAGTGCCTACTTAATTCAAACGAAGGTTTAACAACTACAATTGTCGGTAGGTTACAATGAACATAGAACATGGCGAAACGAAATTATGATGAATAGCAAGGAAATCGAAATAATGTTGTGGCAACTATAATCCGAAAATTGGTTCGAGAAAAAGAGTCGAAGTATGTATGAAGGGATTGTGGAGTGATAAGCTAAAGAAAAATAATTAGCGATTTCGTCGACACCATTGTGACTGACTCTGAGATCTATTACCCAACACATCTAACCACTGACTGGAGTTATATATTTTTCTAAATTATCGATTTTGTCTTCCCATTTGAATTCCTGTAACCAGTCTAGATAATCATTCAGAAGAAACGATGTGATGAGTCGAGATGTATATAAAAAGTCGTGAATTTGTCTAGGCTCAAAAATCGTAAACAAACAAAAAGGAAGTATGAGTTCAAAGTTTTAGTTTTGGTGACCTAGATCTCGTGGCGCACATTAACCGTAAGAACCAAACCAATTATATACCATTTAAGCGATTCAAAAGATAGAATGCTCAGTTCAGGAATTATGTCTACAGTAACGTTGCATTAACCGGTACATAAGTTTATGGTGAATGTCAATGAGTGTGATAAAATGTAAATATTCAATCAGCCTAATTCTCACCTAATAAATATCTGATCATAAGTATATATATATATATATATATATATATATATATATATATATATATATATATATATTGTTGCTTCGGTAGAAAATGTTACTTATCGTTCATGTATCTGAATGAATGTTTTCTAGGAATTATTAATATTTGGTGGTGCAACGAAAACAGGTCCTTTGAGTCAACTACTCCGTCTACAAATTCATTGTCTATCACGCCAGAAAATCCATCAATTTATGAAAAGGACAGAATCACTGCAAGCTTAACTCAAGATCGCATTCATACTGATATTCAACAATTCATCTATCATCCTCGCACACAACACTCTTCTGTTTCACTAACTGAATATAATCAACTCATAGTATTCTCTGGTGGGAATGTTGGTAGTCAGCCAGTGTCAGATGATAAAGTAACTACCGATTGATTGAATCTACTTATTTGATTTTCTTTGACCACATTTAATGCATACTATATAGGGAAAAGTACATACATGAAAGAAAAATCTTTGTTTTTTATTATCGTTTTGTTGAGAGGTAGGATATGTGTATTGCTCTTAAACTGATGGCTAAACATTATTTCATAGATTTTACGACTTATTGAAAATATACGCATTATGATATTCTTCATAATGTCTGTCTTGGAACTAACTCCCCAAATAAGTAAATATGTGTAGCCATATATTCGTTGCTGTTTGTTACTAGTTTATTAAACATCTTTATGTAACTGGTTTATAAACGGTGCGAAAAACGCCTAAACAGTCGTATTATATAAATAATGGCCAGTAAGTAAACAAAATAATTTCGTAAGGGAATAAACTGAATTTATTTAACACATAGTATAGAGAAAATTGCAATATGTTTTAGTTGAATATTATAATACATATCTCTAAGAAATAATATTGCAAAAGAAGGCTAATTCTATGTTTAGTCATATGGGGTTTAGATGAATAGCATATCCAGTTATGCTAATAATATATTGAATCGTATTTCCATATAGTCTTAGCTATTCACTAGACCGAGTTATTGATGTATGTCTCTAGTGAACTGATATCAGAAGACAATACCACTATCCAGATGAATAGTTTTTTAGAATAAAATAGTTCGTTTATGTGTACAATATTAGCGCAGAAATAAACATGATTAGATTCCATACACGGTCAGCGGACATCACTTTTGTAGGTCACTTGTCAAGGGACTAGGATCTGACTATTATGCTTGATTTTCACATTATATATATATATAATAAACACAAATACGGTAAACTACACAGTAACAAGAAATATTTATATATATTTTATAACTTTCTCCAAATTCTTGTCTTCTTATTGTTATGCTCTTAACTATACGATTATCGCTAAATAATGACTCATACACCAGTACGAGCAACCTAGAATACTGGTTGGTTCTTTTCCCACCAAGTCCTGCCTGTTAAATCCAGAACACCAATATCAGCCTCCACGATATGAATCATTTATTCAAACATACTTGGTTTATATATAAACCAAACAGAACACATCACACCGTAAAGAAAAAAAATATACAAAATCAAGTCAAAATTGGCTGTGATTGTGGGGGACCGTAATTAATGAACTGAGCATAAATTAAGAATGGTAAATCGTATAATAATAGTTCATAGGTTATAATAAAACGAATATATATAATATTAGTTCATAAATAAATCCCAATATTTACCATTCATTATTGCCATCGAGATATAACACATATTCGTTTTCTTAACTTATCTTAAAATCTTAGCAATGATTTCAAATGACTCCCTTGTTCATAAAACATTGTTTGTATGAATGCACAACTAGGTGAACTTATACAATGCAGCTTATAAATAATGGATTAAAGAGAAATTAACTTTTCACTAATACATTTTCATATAATTATAACTATGAATCACTTTTTTAAAAGATTATGTAAACATATTTCTGAAACTTATTGCTTATTTAATGTACTTTTGATTGTGGATCATTTTTTAAAAGACATTTCTGTTCATAAGTTTATTCCAGAATATCAAAGAACCTAAATAATTTAATGTATTCTATATTAGGATATATATAGAAAGTACAACTTAAATCAGTCCACAGTTAAGATTACCAAATAACTACACTGAAAAGTCAGTACAATAAAGAAAATTTTTTTGCCAATATCATTTATTCAAGCTGTGCAATCACGTTTATGACTAATTTACAATTAAAATGGTCTTCTGAAAAATTGGAGAACGATTACATCATATCACGTATCATATAGTGTCGCTTAACGATAGAGAATTTGACGAAGGATAGTAAGGTGAAGGATAAATAAAAAATGTGAAGGTGGTAATAATGAATTATTAGGATTAAAGAGTTTAGAAACAATTGAAGGATATAATAAAGTCAAATTGCCATGTGTGAAAAGTGATTGTTAGGGCCATAGAAAAATGATGGTTTGCATGTGTCTGTTTTTACATACAGAATTCAAGTTTGGAAACGTGGATTACTAACACCTTTGCATTGCACAAATTATTGATTAGTACTCCCCTCAAACCAAATTATTTGATCTTATAAATGGTTTTGAAGGATGTATCCAGTGGCGTCGTGCGATCATAGTTCACATGATATTCCAGTATTGAGCTATTGATAGTTTTAAAATCGCCTTCGAGAACCAGAAAGGATAATGTTCAGAGATGCGTTTGAAAATCACTCGCATTACGTAGCCAATTTAACGTGTTTCATACAGCAAGACGAATGTACATACTTTATTTAATTAAATTTTTGAAATCAAAGTTTTCTCTACAAATAAGTGTATATTTATTTTAAATTACTTATTATTTCTCTTTAGGTTTATATGTATGATAGTGAAATAAATTCATGGAACATTATACCAGTGGAAGGTTTACCACCTTGTTCACGATTAGGTCATTTATTACTATATGAATTTCCTTACGAATTAGCAAATTCAAATTATGAACGTATCCCAAAAGGTAAAATGTATATACACGGTGGAATGGTCAATGAAAAACTACTTGATGATATTTATGTATTAAATTTTACTAATCAAGTGAGAGAAATTTATTAGAATATTATACAAGGAAATACTTTCTGTATATATTAATTGTTTAATAAACCATAGACAATATTACATTTTAATAGTTTCAGAAATATTATATTTAACTGCTAGTCAAAATACTCTCATCTATAAGTTTTTAGTGGTCTTCATTTATTAGATAATAATAGCTCAATAGTTATGAGTATATTATGTTGGCTTTTATATATCAAAATGATGTTTAATTAAGATGATATGATGATTCATAGATGTAAATAATTATGAACTCTTTGTCTTTAATTTGTTGAAAGAATGTTTAAACTGACAACATGTTAATTGAAATAGAGTTCCAATTTATTGATTTTCAGTTGCTGATGTAGATTATTCTAAGTTCTTCCTAATCTAAAATCTTTCAAAAGAATTTTCTTCGTCACTTTTTTTTCTTTTGGAATAGTGGCAATAAATATTTCGGAAATAAGCTTAAACGGTCACCATAGAAACTCAAGATTTTGGCGAGTTAATATTGCATATTAGTAGTAACATACTGTCAAGCTCACATTTTTGCTACTCCAAGTTGAACTTTCTAAAAACTAATCTAAAGTGTAGTTCAGTTCAGCTGTTTATTTCCTTAGGCTTCGTCCTTTATCAGCTCTGTGATGTAACAGATAAGGCTTAGACTCCTAATTTTTGTACGAAAACACGTATGGGATTACTTAGCTCTCAAAATGAACATCCAGCATTTGCCTACACTGTATCACTGAAGCGCATCTGTCGTTAGTAATTTTACGCATTCATTATAATAATTCATAATTCGTTCTTCAAATCACAAAATCCTCTCCCATGACAGTTTCTCAAAAATGTAGTCACTTGTTTTAATATAGTTACCTAAAATTATTTCACTGATACCCAATTATAAATAAGCGTTTATTTTCATTATTTTCAGTCTGATAATAATTTACACTTCAAAGGTATATGGAACAAACTATATCCGACTGATAAATCATCACCACTCACTATTAGTCATGATAATGCGGAAAGTGAGTGTGAATATTTGGACCCAAAATGTATTGAACTTACACAGATTCCATCTCCAAGTCCACGTGCTGCTCATGGCGGAACAATTTTAACAAATAAAATTTATGAACAGGATACCAGTAAAATATTAATATTTGGTGGATTGTCATTAAATGGAGCGTTGAATGATATGTTCTGTTTGATACAAGTTAGTGAAAATGTTAATGACCATAATAATACTTAGAACTCAATCGCATAAACCGTGTATAGGATAAGCTTATTGAAAATTTAAATACAAATCCAATGAATTTTTGGATGGGTCTCTTTTGTTCTAATTAATACGTGCAAAAGGAATGAATTAATCACATTTCGTGAGTCTTGTCATCTATCATGGGTTAACGGCAAGCAAACTTTCAGAACGGATTCTAAAAACTGGCGACGTTGCTCCACATACGGCACAGGAGAGAGTAAACTTTGTAGCAAACCCTTTTTGTATTTTTGTAAGCCTATAAAATGAAAATATACGACATGTGTAGATGATAGTTTTTGATCACAACTGTCTTTAGTCAAATATCTCACTGTACTGATGTGGAATGTATCAACTCATACATATTTGTATCAGATTCTACTTTGACTATGAGTGTCTTACTGCACCGAATGATGTATTTCTAAATGTTCCATGTTCTGGTTTCGAGCGCTTAGTTTCACATGCAAGTTATCGCCTCAACTAAATCAGTTATTTCCACATTTTATCAGACTAGTTGTCTTCATTTACATTGAAATAATTTCCTTTTTTCTTAACGTCCAACCTTTTTTTTCAATTAGGTACTAGACAATGGACTGAAATTAAATATGAGACTTCTGTATTACCGAGTCCACGTTTAGACTTTGCGTATTGTACATTTTCATTAATCGTTAAGAAGGATACAAAAGAAAATTCACCGATGAAAATTATATTTAAAGCACCAAAAGGTATTTATACTTTCGATGATATATATATCACTGAGATCTGTGTATATTTCCTGACAGTGGTAGAATGAATTTCAGTCTATAGGTATGATCAAGTTAATACAATCACATGATTTCTAAGTAGTTACCAATATCTACCCATACAGTTTCACTAAAATAAGACTTGTGGTGATTAAGTTTTGTCGTTAGGCTACTTGACAAATGCATTTTTGTGTGCTTGACTGCTAGCCATACTGAATGTGGGGTAGAGCAAGTGATGCCGTCCGTCTACTCAAACAGGAGTACGAAGCTCATGTCTAGTGGTTGTAAGTTGAATGTATAAATCATTATGTTTAACTTGACTTTAGCAGGCTAAAGTATTTAGATTTTGTGGTTGTTAGTACTGTGTAATTAAATTAATTAATGGTTGTTTATGTTATACTGTAATGATTGGTTCTCAATTCGATTGTTATCTAGTTGTAGAAATTGAATCACTGTAAATAGGTTCCTGAATTTTTAAAGTGTTTTACTTAAATAGATCATCTAAAAGTACTCAGTTTCTTATTATTTAGTCTTTTATGTTGATCAAATTCTGTTGGTCAAGTGACTCAACATCGTTGTGTACACTGTTTCGGAAAAATTTTAATAGAAAGCACTAAATGCACTTAAATGGCGTCAAGTATTTTTTGTCTTTGTAAAGTCATATCTAAAGCCCTGAAAATATTTTGGAATATAAATAGAACGGAATATGTAACCCCATTAACTCTTATATACAAGTTACTTGGTGCATAGTTTGGTGAATGAACGTAAATATGTTGTGATTTGTACTGTTATGCTTTTGAATGTAAATGCACATGAACAGTCCTACTGATGATTATTGACTAGTTTAACAGCTAAATTAACTTTCAACCAACATCCCCTACTTTTTAATCTCGATGCAACAATCCTGCTTCTAATGGATACAATTAGTTAACTTAATTCTACTTCGAATGTTCATATTTGAAGTAAAAAGGGGATACAATAGACTGATTTCGTTTGTCAACTATCCATTCAACTATGTCTAATACTGGGCGATTTTCAACTTACCGTATAAATCATCTTCATATTTGACAACCTTTGTGTTTTGAAATATTTTTCCTGGTAACAGGAATTCGATTTCTTAAATTGTTGTATTTTATTACTGTTATTTTCTTCAGATAATCAATATCACGATGATATCGTCAATACTGGTGAGCATGAAGATAACAATGATAAAGATCAATACTGTCAAGAGTATTTATTTATTCACGGCGGTATGGATACTCATGGTTCTGTGTTTGATGATTCTTATCTTATTCTACTAAGTGAATATCAACTTTCTAATCCTTTAAATGCTCAAACAATTATCCACCGAAGTTCTTCACATGGAAAATGTTAATACTTCTTTGCAGTAAATAAAATATTAATCTGCGATACATTATAATCCCCTCAATGTATGAAATTCCAAACGTCTATATGTATTCCTACACAACTTCGGAATAATTAAAATCTCATAAATAGCTTTTTTTAAAACTTTAGACAATTGGATTTTCTGTTGACTAGGTATTTAGGACATAATTCTAACTGGACATTCTGTTCTAAATATGGAACTCATTTTTTACCGTTCATCTTTTTTATTTAAATAAAATTATTGATTATTCTACTCTTATCTATTGTTCTCCTGTTGTTCATAGTTCTTAATTTTATTCTGTTTTATAAGATTGTATATAGGGTTTATTTGATCATGGATTTCCTATTGAATTTGAAATATGCGCAATCGTTAGTAATAAAAAAAACATTAGCTGCTATCTTTGCTTGGGACGGAATGTTCGCTTATTTCCACCATCAATATTTAGGTAATTAACTACAGTGTCTTCGAGGTAAATATCTTAAAAGTGTCATAAAATTAATCAGGAATAAGTACCGATGTATAAAATTAATTCCCGATTAAAATAATGAGAAAGCACGGTACAAACATATGAGGTAGTCGAATAAATTTACGCTGTTACGACTGAATTTGTACCATTCAACCGTAATATCTAACATCTACTCCCAGGAGCTTACTTGAGCCTGAAAAGCTCAAATTACGAGTGATTAAATGGATATTATCCCAAGAATTGTTTGCTACTAAATGGTTGTAAATCAAGTTAACCGAGGGTTAATATTATTATACTACTTACTAATGGTAAGTAGCATAATTTAAAACGGTAATTTCTACGCAAAGCTGAGTAATCAAGTTAAATTGTTTTCTAAATAAAACACAAGCTGTGTGGCTATTGGTTTTAGCCTCCGGAAACTTGAATAGGCTACAAATTCACCGTAGAAGAGACGAAAATTAGTATTTGTGTAATTGTACACAACAGGTCTCATGAGGATTAATATTTGATTTCATTATAACATTGGAATATTTATCGTTAGTGAAAGAAGAATTAAATTATAAAATCTGAAGAATATCGTTATAGATGTATGATCATCTCCACCAGAGTGAATTTGTTTCACAAAATGATATTAGACCAAGAAGAGGAATAAAATCTTCCAATCAGTAATGGTTACTTTTATAAATGTTTGGTATGGAAATGTTTGCATTCTGATATATATTATAACGCGGAAATAGAAATATAAGCTAATGAAGAGAAGTCAGTGGAAATAAGGTATGTTAAAAACCTTTTCATGAATAAAATTCCAGTGTTTTATTTAAAGAATGGTGAAGCCCTCTGAATTGAGATGAAATGAAGAAAGTAAACACTTAGCTGATTTTTTATTTGGGTTATTTTAAGAACTGTGAATCCAGCCATATTTTTTCAATGGAATAATTAATTTTGGTTGGTCGTTATTTACAAATACCTTTACGAATACCTTTTGAATCTAATTCAGTTTTTCAAAGGTGTTATATTATCAATAAAGTTTCAGGGTCACGGTCTTGATCTCATATACATGGGCGCTTCTGAGGAGCTTCATATAGGGATGAAATAGACGACCAAAGATTCTCATTAAATAGTTTATCAAAGAATTTCAACTCGTGGTGGGGATTATTTTTAAATTTTATTAAAATATGTTAAATTATAATATATATGGGCATTTATTTATACATAGATCTATTATGAAGAATATTAAATTGCACACAAAGCAGACTTTGCGTCAATTACGTTTATGGCCAGCTGAATAATTGTTCATTTATTAGATCACAATTGAATCATTAGGAAATGTTTTAATGAACTCAACAACTTGGAAAGACAAAAAGAATCCATATACGAGTTTTGTACATAATTGAGTATATATGAATTTGACGTCATTTCCATGTTTAAAAACCATTGTTTTTACCTGTTTGTATACAAAAGGTAAAAACTACCATAAATTCAAAATAACGATTGTTAGTTCCGTGCAGTTAATTGTTTACTTGGCTTTGTTAAAACTAACATTGAAAAGGATTAGTTTATACTGACACTATCACCAGTTTGTACTAAGTGGGCGAATATCTAGCTGTTCACTTTCTTCACCAAACCTTTGTTTAGCCACACTGGGAAGTGTTCACGATCACGAAAATATAAATTCTTAGAACTTCGACCAATATAACATGCTCCACAAGAGCAGTCGAACTGACAAATACAAAATGGAGTGATCATTCTAGGTAATTCATCTTTTAGCCTGGGTGTTACCACTGGGCGCGTAGAAAACACTAATCGTAGTTCTCCGTGTTGAAAGATTTTTGTATTGTCCTGCGTAATCTCTGAGTTAATATTTCACTAGCCGCATCCACTCTGAATTCTAGGCTTATGAATAGAGATCTCTTCATCACCGTTTGTATTTCGCCTATTTTCAAATTCGTGATCATATATTCAGTCATAAACTTTCTAGAGTAGCCGTTCTCCCTAAGAGTATTAGCTCATCTTCAACTATATCCTCAGAACATTTAGCGCGTATTCGCTAACGGTTTTGACCGGGTTTCGTTTGTACTAACATTGTATAAGATATTATAGGTTTTCACTTCCTGTTTGGTTACTCTAATTTGATAACGGCTGTAGTTTGTTAATATTCTATTGTCCGAATGACTTGAAGTGAAATAGTGCAAAATCCCTGTAGTTACTATAATTCACATCCACTACTGTCATCATTTTCTGCGCTCGATTTCATACTGTTGACAAGTAGTATATGCCTGATAGTGCAAAACGTTTCTTATTGTTACAGGTGGAAGAAAATTAACGAGCAATAGTAGAGGTGATGTACTGACATTTGATAAATCTTTCAGACAAAGGTTTTCTTTCTAGATAAGCACTAACATTTACCGCTAGATTTAAAAAAATAAGTAACTGGAAACGTCATTATTTGAAAATGAACCAGTATTGTATTAGTCATATTGATATATTGCATCGAAAGTGATTCATGTTCGAATATTATTTTGTGATTCAGTGACACCGTGACTCAGTATATCATATACATCTGTAATTAAAACATCCTCTTAAACAATTAAGCAAAATAAATCTATTAACTATTTGCAATACTAAAATATATAAACATAAGTTTAAGATTGTTGACAATGTTTATGAATGCAGAATCACTTATATAGAACTTTACAATAGTAATATCAAGAAATGTAATTTACTTCTTTAATAAGCTTCTTTAAATATACCATTGTATTCATTGTGCGGAGCAAACAAAAGCCTTATTTAAAATTCGGAAGTGGATGAAGGTTCCAATTTCAGGCTGGGGAGCTATTATAATCACTAATCACAAGACATTTGTTTTCTGCCTCAGTTATGTATACTCTCTATGCCTTGCATACGGTAGTGTTTGAATGTGGTCGATTCCATACCACGTAAATCGGTTGATATGCAGTGCTGAAACTAGAACTAAATAGACATTCGAGGTTTAATAAAATTAGGCACAATTATGAGCTTACTTGTGATCAAATTTTAAAGTTAATTCTCGAGATTATAGTTAGTATATATGACCAATAGAGCTTAACTATGTCAAGAGTGAAATAAATATCACTGATGCAATTGGGTGATGGTCAAAAATTTGTGTAAATTGACTGGAGTTAGAAATACAAACAATTGAATGCTAACTTAGTGATATGAAGACCAAACTCTCATTAAGAGGCGTCAAGATCTTGATTTAGAACCCTAGATCGGTATGAATGACGAATGCCGAGGAGCCCGATGCTATGATGAAAGAGTTGTCAAATACTTAGTTGGATTAAGCTCAATGAGCTATCAACACCGAAAAGATTTATTCAATAATTTGCTAAAACGGTCCTTACGGATAAGGAACATATGGCAATAGGTTAGATTATCAGGATTTTAAATAAACCTACTTCTATAAGGATGTTTGAGTTGTTGCTGCTGACCTACGGATAGAATTAATTATGTAGCTAATTCTACTAAGATTTCAACAATAAATTTATCCACCCAAATATTAGTTAAAAATCGCCTGTTTTTCTTTTCCTCATTTTCCTTTCTTCTGTATTAATTAGCAGATATTGACAAATATCACCAGTGACACTAGATGATGGTTCCACAGTATTGCAAACTGATTAAAGTTAGACATAAACCATTGGATCCTGACTTAAAGGTCTTAAGGTTAGACGCGAGACCTGAAGGTTTCGATTTCGATCCCTAATGGAGTCGTCGATGCATACCACTTAAGAGTTCAATATTAAACGAAAACATTTTCCATTACTTCTTGATTTTCAACGGTTTTCTAGCTAAGATCAGTCCTTAATAAAAATTAAGAAATTTGACCATCACCACAACACCACAGAAAAGGACAAGAGTTTTCTTGTTCATTTTATTTAATTACTATGTTTTAAGTATTTCGTTTTGTATGATGTTTAAACCGTCAGATTCATCCAACCATAAAAACCTTTTTATGTATATGTTTACTTGTATGTATTGAGACCAATGCAAGTAATCGGGAATATATTTTTTTCTGGGCCAGCTAGTGTTAATAGTTATTACGTCTGACTTCGTAAATTAATATGCTTGTTTTCTTTAGTGAGTCTTTTCTTTTTCTCATCATCCAAGTAGTAAGCAACATGGTTACTCATAGTTACCATTTGATGTGAATTGCTCTATGTAACATTTTGATTAAAACTGAGGATATTGATCGTTGGATTGTGGCTCAGTGGAAGGACGGTATAATTGTCACTATGAGACATACTAGTGGGTATGATCTCGTCTGACATCTCTGATGCTAACCATTTAATGTTCTCGATCAAGAACGAAAGAGCTGATCACTATTCTATTACTTAAAATAGATCTCTGTATACTGTAGTTATTTGTGGAGCATTATTTTAAAAACAAACCATATTTGTCATTAACTGACCGTATTTAAAATGAAATTAATGAAAAATTCCATCTGATCGTATGATTCAAACTTTACCAGAGGGAAATCTCCCACACA